AAACAATAAAAATCCTCAAAGAAAGTATAGGAAAAAAACTGGAAGATATCGGCCTGGGGAAAGACTTCACGAAGAAGACTGCTGTGATAATTGCAACAACAAAAATAAACAAATTGGACTTAATTAAACTAAATGCCGAGACAACAACTAAAGCAAATAGACAACCTACACAATGGGAAAGGATATTTGCATATTTTGAATCAGACAAAAGCTTGATAACTAGGATCTATAGAGAACTCAAATTAATACACATGAAAAAGCCAACAATCCCATATGTCAATGGGCAAGAGTCATAAATAGAACCTTCTCTAAAGAAGACAGACGAATGGCTAACAAATATATAAATAAATGCTCATCATCCCTAATTAATAGAGAAATGAAAATTAAAATCACCCTGAGATACCATCTAACCCCAGTGAGAATGGCCCACATCACAAAATCTCAAAACTGCAGATGCTGGCATGGATGTGGGGAGAAGGGAATACTTTTACACTGCTGGTGGGACTGCAAACTAATACAACGTTTTTGGAAGGAAGTATGGAGAACCATCAAATCGAACTCAAGCTAGACCTCCCATTTGATCCTGCAATCCCATTACTGGGCATCTACCCAGAAGGAAAAAAAATCCTTTTATCATAAGGACACTTGCACTAGACTGTTTATTGTGGCTCAATTTACAATCGCCAAAATGTGGAAACAGCCTAAATGCCCACCAATACAAGAATGGATTAACAAGGTGTGGTATATGTACACCGTGGAACACTATTCAGCCATTAAAAAATGGAGACTTTACAGCCTTTGTATTAACCTGGATGGAAATGGAACACATTATTCTTAGTAAAGCATCACAAGAATGGAGAAGCATGAATCCTATGTACTCAATTTTGATATAAGGACAATTAAACACAAGGGGGCAGTGAGCAGAGAGAGGAAGAAGGAGGGAGGAGTGGGGAAGGGATTAGCAGAAAGAGGGAAGGGGGGAAGAGGGTGGGGTCTTGGTGTGTGCCACAACTTTTGAGGGCAAGACAGAATTGTAAGAGGGACTTTACCTAACAAATGCAATCAGTGAAGCCTCGTTTCTTGTACCCTTAATGAATCCCCAACAATAAATTTAAAAAAAAACAAAACTCAGCAATAAACTCAGACATGAGGCTGGGTGTGGTGGCTCACGCCTGTAATCCTAGCACTCTGGGAGGCTGAGGTGGGTGGATTGGTCGAGCTCACACGTTCAAGACCACCCAGCACAAAAGTAAGACCCTGTCTCTACTAAAAATAGAAAAACTGAAACAAGAAGATCACTTGTGCCCACGAGTTTGAGGCTGCCGTGAGCTATGATGATGCCATGGCCCTCTACCCAGGGCTACAGAATAATAAAATTCTGTCTCAAAAAACAAACAAACAAACAAATGAGTTATTGATACATGCTACAGCATGAATGAACCTCAAAAACATTAAGGGAAAGAAACTAGTCACAAAAAAACACATGTTGAGTGATTCCATTTATAGGAAACATCCAGAGCAGGCAAATTAATAAAGATGTAAAAAGTAGATTAGTGGTTGCCAGGGGCTGGGAGGAATGAGAATACTGCTTAGTAGATACAGGATTTGTCTTGGACTGATAAAAAATTCTGAAATTAGTTAGTGGTGATGCTTCCATAACTCCATCAATATACTAAAAAGTGGTACACTTTTGCACCACTAAATGGGTAAATTTTTGGTATGTGAATTATCTCAATTTTAAAAGTTGCATTCGTACTTTTGGTGTGTGCCACACCTTCTGGGGGCAAGACACGCTTGTTAAGAGGGACTTTACCTAACAAATGGAATCAGTGAAACCTGGTTTCTTGTACCCTTAATGAATCCCCAACAATAGGAATTCCCTTCAAGGGATTCAACAAAAATGAATCCCTTATGCATGAGGTATGAGTATCCCAAGTTCTTTATTGTACTTGGGATATTCATACCATATTACACCTCATGCAGAAGGGATTGTTACTGTTTTAATGAACTATTGGCAGTCCCTAGAAACATTAATCAAAACATTCGGTGTTTCTTTTTTTCTTTTTTCGTTTTGTTTTCTTTTTCTTTCTTTCTTTCTTTTTTTTTTTTTTTTTTTTTTTGAGAGAGAGTGTCTCAGTTTGTTGCCTTCAGTAGAGTGCCATAACATCATAGCTCACAGCCACCTCAAACTCTTGGGCTCAAGCAATCCTCTTGCCTCAGCCTTCCAAGTAGGTAAGTAGGTGGGACTACAGGTGCTTGCTACAACACCCAGCTAGTTTTTAGAGACAGGGTCTCCTTCTGGCTCAGACTGGTCTCAAACTCCTGAGCTCAGGCAATCTACTCACCTTGGCCTCCTAAGAGTGCTAAAATTGCAGGCATGAACCACTGCTTCCAGTGGTATTTATTTTTTATAGTAAATATAATCTTTATTGTGGTAAAATACACATAACATTTACCATTTTAAGTATACTGTTTGGCAAATGTAATTTAGTATGTGCATATATCTTGATACATTTTCATTTAAAAAGTATATTGGTACTATAAATTAAAATGTAGCTCTAGAAACTTGTCGTTATCCTGGGAGTGAGTTTAGGGAAGCTGTGTGGGCTTCCCCACGCCTGCCTGGCACTGAGCAGGCGCCCCCCCCCCATTTCTGGCTGCTTTTCACATGCAGCTGGTGTTTAGATAACAGCAAGAGGGTCTGGTGGATGTGGTGGGTAAGTGGCTGTCCCTTCCAAGGTGACTGGTGACCTGCCCTTCTCCTCCCACACTTTCTGGAAGGTGTCTGCCCATGGGAGCCCAACCATTGCCTCAGACCTGGAGCAGATGAGGAGGACCCATCTGCCGGCACTCCAAATGCAGAGATGGGGACCTTAGCACTTCTATCAAGTATTGGCAGGCAAAAAAAATTTTTTTTGGCCAGGGCTGGGTTTGAACCCGCCACCTCTGGTATATGGGGCTGGCAGCCTACTCCGTGTGCCACAGGCACTGTCCCTGCAGGCAAATTTTTACAGTGGAAGTTTAATGACCCAAATTTTTATACAGATGCATTTTATGCAAGCTGTAGATTACACTCCAGGAAATTTATTCTGGCATAATGATATCGTCAAGTCATAACTACAATGACTTAATCTGTGTGTCCTTTTTGTCTTTAAACATTTATTTAAAAACCCTTAAAAAAAACTTTTATTGGCTTTTGAAAAGACAAGCTTGTGGTTGCCACTCTCCTTTCAGATAACTTATTTGTTTGACCATTTTTAAATGATGACTTTTAAAAAATAAAGTGTTTCTTCTGTAACAAAATGAATGAATAGTAAGGAATGACTTTCAGTGAGAAGAACAATAGTGCCAACGTTAGCTGTACACCAAGTGTGTCCCCATCAGAGTCTGGGGTGATTGGCAGGAATGTGTGAGCTGCCCAAGGTGAAGCTGTCAAAATCATAACTATTTTTATAAAACAGAGATGCTGTTTTATGAGCTAAGAATTTTATTTAACACATAATCATCCTGTACCTAAGAATCTGCATTAAATATAAACAATGTGATCTGCCCAAGCTTTTAGAATTAGCCAGTGGCACCTTCTAAATAAATAAAAGTCATTTAATTCAAATATAACCTTTCTACAGCTGTATGCCTGGAACAACAATTCTCAAAGAGAATTCCAAGAAAACACTGGTTTCTTAGGATATTGTTAGTGACTACACCTAAAAGGATTTCATGGTTATAAACTGAAGAAACATGGGTTTCATAGGATACTACAGGTGCCCTTCACACAGAGTTCTCCAGACCCTCTGGATTCCCAGCCCCACTGTAGGGAGAACGCAGTGCCCCCTGCAGTGGTATGGTTCAAGGCAGCCCTGCAGACCACAGGAGCCTGTTTTCATGGATTGGACTCCACGGAATACTTTTTGGGAAACTCCAAAAATTTAGCAAAATTGGAAGCACTTGTCACTATCTAGAAAGGGTTATTTATTTTTCCAACTGTACAGAGAGAATTTTTTTACCTTCATCTTTTATCATACCATTAATATTACTGTTCCTTTACAGGGTAACTCTGGGATTAAAATCCTGTCTTAAACTGGGTAAGTTTTTGAGCAAAAACCAATGTAGACATTTATAGCATTAGCAGTGAGGACGCATAGTCTGACAACATCAGCTGGCCAGTGTGGGGCACTAACTCTGAGCACAGAAGCCCTGGCACTACCTCTGCTTCCCTTCTCTTACTCCTGCTGTGGTACCAACAACTGGGCCCAAGCGTCATGTGACTTTCCAAAGGCCTCAACAGTGTTTAAAGGTAGAGGTAAAGCAAGATGGGCCTCCACGCTGAGGCCAAGCCTGTGTCTTCCCCGTCAGCAAGGGGTTAGTCAAGCTGGGAGCTGGGTCTCGGAAGGCAGTCAGGTCTGACATGGGGACTGTGTAAGTGGGATCAGTCAGTGTCTGTCCTTTTGTGTCCCATTGTGTTATTTTATATAAGTTCCGTATTATATAAGTAATTTATGTTTGTTTTTGGAAAATGCTGGAAATATACAATCAAAAGAGGAAAGTAAGTATCACTTCCAAGCTCTGCTCTGATAACCACAAAAAATATTTTTACATCTTTTACTCTTTTCCTTTGGCTTATTACATATAGTCCCATGTATAGATACATACAGGGAGGCCTTACAATTTTCTGGCTGCTTTTTACTTAGCAAGATATCACAAACATGTTTCCATGCCCTTAGGTATTTTCTACACAACCGTTTCAGTGACTGTGCACTGTTCCCTTGTGCAGATGTGTCACTGTGTAATGGACAAGCTCCTGTTCCTGTGCATTGGGTTCCTTTGTGTGTTCGTCTATCTTTGTGTCCTCTGTCCACCATGTCTGCGGTACCAACACCTCAATTATAGTTCCATGGCATTAGGGGTGGTGTCTGTTACTCCTTCTGCCAGCTCACTGGCCAGGCACTTCCTAGGTGGTATTTGATGATGAATACTTATGACTGTGTCTTTTCTTATTCCAGGACAGAGGGGCTTTTCAATTTGATTGACTCCCTGTGGCCCCCAGCGATACTGCTGAAAGCACCTGGCCATGGACAGTCTTATGAAGAGGTAAGCCCAGTACAGAGCAGCTCCATGCCCGTGCCAGGGGCCAAGCACCATCACCACTTCCTGTATGGGCCTTGTCCCCATGGAGGCAGCAAGGAGCTCTATTCCTTTGTGGTGACCTGTAATATAAGTTGGGGTGGGGATTTAGATCCACCTGCTCTGTCTGGAGCCCCAGCCCTGGCTGTTCTCCCCTGTGCTGCATACCATGTCCCTTGAGGTTAGTTTTTTTTTTATTTAATTCCAGGTTAATTTGAGGATACAAAGAATTAGGTTACAATGTTTGCATTTGTTAGGTATAGTCCCTGTTATAAGTTGTGTCCCACCCCCAGGCAGTATGCCCATTAGGTGGGAGCACACCAATCCCCTTCCCTCCTCCTTTCTCTCACCCTCCCTTCCTCCCCCTCCACCCATCTTGAATTGAAATGAATTTTTCTCTTATATGGGTGTGAATTAGGTCATCTTCTGGCTTCATGTTAGTACTGAGTACATTAGACATTTGCTTTTCCATTCTTGTGCTACTTTACCTAAGAAGAATGGGTTTCAACTCCATCCAGGTAAAGTCTCATCTTTTTTGTAAGGTTTTTATCTTTTTTACGGCTGGTTAGTATTCTAAGGTGTTTATTAATCCATTCCTGTGTTGGTAGGCATTCGGCTGTTTCTGCATCTTGGCGACTATAAATTGAGCTAGGGTAAATGATCTGGTGCAAATGTCGTTATGATAAAGTGATTTTTTTTTCTGGGTAGGTGCCTACTTATGGGATTAGGGGATCAAACAGGAGGTCTAATTTGAGTTCTTTGGGGATTCTTCATACTTCTTTCCAAAGAAGCTGTATTAGTTTGCAGTCCTACCAATAGTGTAAAAGTGTTCCCCTCTCTACACATCCATGCCAGCATCTGCAGCTTTGGGATTTTGTAATGTGGGCTAATCTCACCGGGCTTAGGTGATATCTCTGGGTGGTTTTGATTTGCATTTCTCTAATAATTAGAGACAATGAGCATTTTTTCATGTTTGTTAGCCATTCGTCCCTTTTCAGAGAAAGTTCTGTTCATGTCTGTTGCTCAGTGGAGGGATGGGATTATTTATTCTTTTTTTGTTGACTGAGGTGACTTTTTGATAACTGCTTAATTCCCAATCCTCACTTGCTGTCTCAACAATCAAGGCCTCAGCCTCATGCCCAGGCAGACACAGAGGGTTTTACTACCACCTTTCAGTCCCTTGTAAAACCAGCACTCAGTCTCCGAGGAAAGTAGAGCTGATATGGCCCCTGGACAGTCACAGTGTCCGAGGTCACCAGGCATTTCTATTTCCCTTCCTCATCAGATGCGTGTGATGAAGGTTCACAAGTAGCAAAATGGATTCAAAAGCGTTCCCTCCACACCCCCCTGAGCCTTTTTCAGCAGACTGGCCCACAGCCACTTAAGCCCACAGCTCCCAAGCCTGAAAATGAGGAGCCATCTTGCTTATTCGAAGTGCTAAGATCGTGAACTTGTGCTGTTACGTGTTGTGACCGAGACCTTGTGCCAAGCAACTTAGTGGTTGTCAGAAATGTTTATTTTTTGATTATTTAAGAGGAATTGGCTCGGCACCTGTAGCTCAAGTGGCTAAGGCGCCTGCCACATACACCTAAGGTGGTGGGTTCGAATCTAGTCCGGCCCACCAAACAACAATGATGGCTGCCACCAAAAAATAGCCAGGTGTTGTGGCGGGCGCCTGTGGTCCCAGCTATTTGGGAGGCTTTGGCAGGAGACTCGCTTGAGCCCAGGAGTTGGAGGTTGCTGTGAGCTGTGATGTCATGGCACTCTACCCAGGGAGACAGCTTGAGGCTCTGTCTAAAAAAAAAAAAAAGAGGAATTAATTTCTAAATGATGTTTTCAAGGTACTCTGAAAAATAGACTTCTAAAATAAAACCTCAAATTGGTAATAAATTCAGAAGTACAGAGGTTCTTATACTTGTATCGGAGTGCCCCCACAGCATACCAGAGAGATCACCCTCCTTAGCAGACGTGTGCACAGTCAGGGGCGCCCCCGTGGGCAGATGCACACAGGGTCAGGAGTGCGTTCTAATGGTGCGCTTGCATCTTTTCGCAAGACATTCACAGTCTACCTTTGCCTTCATTTTAAACAGGTAAAAACTCATCTGCCTCTTCCTACCCTTTGTTACATCCTCATGGTTCCTCTAGTTCTGGGATGAATTGATATAATTGACAAAGCCCCCATTTCTAAGCTTTATCAGCCACCAATTACCCGCTGCTTAAGAGAGATTCTCCAGGTAATGTTTTTGTTTCTAGCAGGTTCCTCAAGTATTTTGCTGTGTCTGCATGCTATGTGAGTTTCACATGTCTCTTTCTCTGCCTGTCCAAGCTGATGATCTTGGTACCCATTGCAGCTTCTATGCCAGGGTGATATATCAAAGACCACAGGTAATCATCTGTCTATTTCTGTCTCTCTCTCTCTCTCATAAGGTGTTATAATATAAATGTATTACAAGGATTAACGGTAATCTCTCTTAGAAATTAGTGCCAAAATAGAAAATCATCTTTAAAATCCAGGTAAGTGTGCTGAAGTGGTGATGAACCCCTTCCTTGCAAAGGTGTGACTGCCAGCTACTGTACTAAGTACTAGGAGCAAACACCCCAAAGATTCTCAGCCCAGTAATGCTAATTCTTTTCTGACACTTAGGCTGGTTAAAGAAAGGGAATAGGCACTGAAATCTCATTCCTAGGGTGGAAGTGGGGATCTAAGGATTGAGGTCAGTGACCCAGAATTCTGGGAATTCTGGCCTTTTAACAGATGAAGGGCCCCTCTGTGGCCCCTGTGAGACCGTGAGCAACTCTAGAGAGCGGTAGTGTAGAGGAGCTTGCTGTCCAATCAGATGGAAGTAGATGGGGGAATAGAAGTTCTTGGCACCTGAATTGCACAAAGTGCACTCTAGGAGAAGCCCCTACTGGACCTTAACTTATGGAGGAACATCCATGTAAATCTAATCACCTGAGGCACAGAGCACATCCTGTTTGTTAAGTTCTCCTCCACTCATGGCTGTATGAGTGTACTCATATGCTGGTACACATATGCCTTCTGTGCACGGCTCCTTGTGGGTGTGTGTGAAGGAAACAGGCCAGACCCAGGGTGCCTATGCTTCCTTGGGCTGTCAGAGTGTCTCCTGTGACCAGCCAGGTCAGAACAGCAGGGAATTGACAGCAAGGGTTCTTGGTCAAGGAAGTTGGTTCAAGGAAGTTGGGACCTGGGCACGTGACCTGGGCACAGAGATAGGATGGCACAGGGGTTGTCTTTTTAAACAGACTGTTCTGGGTTACCAAGGCCTGACAGAGCAAATCCCACAGCTTGTGAGTGTCACTGTACACACTTGAGAGGAGTCTCCATGAAGCCTGCATGCTTTCCACACAGCACAACTCAGCGGCCTGACTTGGGAGCCGTTCTCTTCTGCTTAAGTTATCTAGAGTTATCTTCCATTGTTCTTTTATTGTGAACTAGTTATTTGCATTTCTCTGATCGTTCCTAGGCAGAAGAGCTACAGACTGACTAAAAGAGTATCTGCTACTTCACACCAGGCAGTTCTCCATGGTTGCATATTCAGGCATAGTATATCATCTTTCATCTGTAGCAGGAGGAGGCAGACTGCTCAATATTCTTCCTGTGAGTTTTTGAACTTAAAATGTAAAAAATTTAAATGTAAAAACCATACTTAGCTTGCAGGCCACACATAAGCAGGTGGTGAGTTGGTTTGGTCACAGGCCAGTTTGCTGGTCTCAGGTCTACCTAGGTCCCTAGCGTTCTTCAAATGCTGAGCAGGGTTGCAGGGACAGGTGCTGTGAAACAGGAGGAAGCACAGCTGGATGGGTGTGTCTTGGTGTCTAGCAGACCTGCTGAGTGCACAGCAGGATGCTTAGCAGCGGGGCCAGGGGAAGGTATGGTCTGCTGAGCATGGCATAGGACACTGGCTCAGCACCTCAGGGTGTCACAGGTGCTACAAGAACACTACTGATCTGTGTAGGAGAGGCTTGTAAAACTTTATCTCATGGATTGCCTTCTCTGCAGAAGGTACAATACATGTGTTTCTGCCACAAAACCTGAGCATTACCTGGTGTTCACCGGCACGCAGAGCACTCTGAAGTCTAAATAAAAGCACATTGCCCATTGAGACAGAAGCAGAGGATTAAATTGTGAATGGACTTCATTTAGTTCTTTATTCTTTATTATCAATATTTTGCCATCTTTGTTTTCTGTGAGGAACTCTTCAGCTTATCATGTGTGTACCACCCTCTCTGAGCAGTGGGGTGCCTTGTTCCCAGGATTGTCACTGACCCAGTGCCCAGGTGCCTGTTGATCCTGAAGTGACCCCCACCATGTTCACTGAGCTTATGCAGTTGCTGAACCTTCTTGCCTCAGTTTCCTCATCTGTCAAGCAGATGTGACATTGTCTTTCCACATCTTATCATAGTTGGTTATTCTGGGGTAAATTTAATAGTTTTGAAATGCCTTCTTTTTTCCTTTGTTTTCCACTTACCCATTCACCTTTTCATCATTAGACAGCTGATTAGTGCCTCTTGTGAGGAATTAAGAGAATGATCAAAATAAATCACCCAGTGGTATGCCTCAGTGTACAGGGCCTCAGCAAAGACAAGGTGGAGCACATGATGTGTCTCC